TGTCATACCTTTGTCATTATACAAATTTATGTCCTCATTTGTCACAAAAACATGCGCACACACACACACACACACACACACATGTGTGTGTGTGTGTGTGTGTGTGTGCGCATGTTTTTGTGACAAATGAGGACATAAATTTGTATAATGACAAAGGTATGACATGGTATTACAAGGAGAAGGTGACTTTTCAGGACATTACCCCATGTCCCCACTTTTCAAAACACTTATAAATCACACAGAATGGAGTGTATTGACAATCTGAAACAGCACAAAGTCTCCTGTGAGGGGTAGGTTTAGGGGTAGGGTTGGTGTAGGGCAATGGAATATACGGTCTGAGTAGGCCTACACTAACTTTTGAATGAATGAATGAATAAATAAATAAATTGTAACTCTCTTTAGATAATAATTAGGGCTACAAACGTAATAATGAATATTCATATTAAATATGTTTTAACTTTAGAACAATTCTGGGTCTGGGACAATGTAGGCTACTAATTTTAAGGCAGCAAACATAAACAATGAAAACAAATGTTTACAAGATAGTTTTAACGCGATATTTACAATACTAACATTAAGGAGATTCCATATCCCTTTATTAACCACGGTTACCATGGTACTGAAGAATATCAACAAATTCGTTATTATTTCCCTTTCCTTAATAATGCACGATGTTGACTTTCCGAGTATCTGGCAACTCCAGGAGTCAGCTGACCTGCTGAAGACAGTGGAGGCACATCGCAGCGCAGCGCTACTCTAACTAAAGAGGGATCGATCTCTGCGGTTTGAATTAGCGATCATGAGCAGCACACAATCTTACAGTCGCTTCAGTGATGAAAACTACAAAAACTGGCTGAAATCAACGGAGAGTCTTTACATACTGAGGAGCCGCATTCAGGGCTTCATCGAAAAGGAAACCGAAACTTACCACAGTTCTCTTCGAAACAAACCTCAGCTCAATAGACAGACCTGTGCGCTAAAGTGCGAACGTGCGAATAAGGTAAATTGTAAATGTTATGTCAATCAAACAATAGAAATAGCCTTCTTTATTTATTGTTTTATTGAACGGTGCAAAAAAAAACTATGCTATACAGAAAAATACTTTTTAAATGATCCCAATGTAATAGGCTATTGTATAAATTAGTACAATTAGTACACATTTGTAAAATTAAGAAATTTAGACAATGTAGAAATACAGTGTAATCTATCTATCTATATATCTATCTATCTTATCTATCTATCTATCTATGTATCTATCTATCTTTCTATCTTATTTATCTATCTACACTGTAAAAAAATACCGTGAATTTAACGGTAAAAGATTGTAAAAATGCTACAGTAAAAACCTGTTAAATGGTTAACGGTAAATTCCCCTACTATATACGGTGAGAAACTGTATTGGACATTACATGTATTGGACATTAATTTTACGGTAGTATACCGTATTTGGAAGTGAAATAAGACTGTATAATTTACAGTGATTAACCGTAAATTGACATACCCAGAATTCCCTGCATTACATTTCAAATTTGATGTTTTTTTTTGTTGAAATAACTGTTTTTTCTTATCAGTTTTGTGTTACACCTAATGTTGTTAAATGAATGTTTATTGCATTATTTCAGTTTCATGTGTGTTACCATGATGATCTATCTGTCTATCCTTAACACTACAAATTTTGAATAATAGTAATGTCATTGCCATATTAAATAAAAATGTGTATCAACAGAAAGTTTCTGGGAGAGTCTGTCCATGTCTCCCAAACTGTGCTTTGCTTCTTTCCGCAGCATCTCTGCCGGTTGTGTGAACACTGGAAGAAGGAAATCATTGCCAATCATAATGGGAATGAGAATCGTATGTACTGGGACAACTGCCAGCCTCATCTATGGCCCACAGATAAGTGGGAAGTTGCCAAAGTAAGTTGCTTTCATCTTTAATAAGCATAGAGTGTTGCCACTGAGTGCTGTCTGTTGGAAATAATATTGTTATAATATTGATATATTGTCCTGCTGCATATGGGGAGAGTTATATTTAGATATTTGGTGTCAGTCAACAAAAATCAACGTGCATTACATTTTTTTACATTGTTGACTGCATGTCTCTCATATTTCTTATGACAGGCACATATGCCACGTGGGCAGACAAAACATCGCAAGTTTGACCAGTTTGATATTGCTGCCATCCTAAACTTAATGAATTTCTGTAAACATTTCAAGATCCCAGGACAATGTGTGAGAGACGTAAGTACACCGAGGAGGAAATAACCTATATTTCCCTGCAAAATAGATTTTTCAACATTACATCATTCAGAACTTCTACATGTGTGATAAGCTTCGTGCTATAGTACGTGACCACTGTATCGGTACGGATATTCAAACACTGCAGATAACACATTTTACACGTATTTTTACTTAACAATTTCAGGTAATAACTGTACGGAACAATGTAATGCATTCGCCTGACTTCAAAGTGAGCAATGAGGAAATGAAAAAGCATCACAAAACGCTCCTGCAGCTGGCCGAGGAGCTTGAACCTCATGTCCCAGAAATGAAAGACTTGGAAAAGGAGATAACGCAGGTGGATGGAAAATTATTCATTTTATTATTAGGATGTTGCCCTTCAATATAATTGTATTATGTATAAGTTTTTCAAATTCCTGTGTAGTTTTACAACATCTTGGACAAGAATTTCAATCAAGCCCCGTGTGAGGTAGATGGCCAACAGGAAGATCTCCAGACCGTGAAAGACCGCCAGAATGTTCTGAACCGTGAGCAGCAGGCCATGAAAGATAGGATTGAAGACTTTATCTCACGCTTGGAGGGGAACCAAGATGAAAATGTCAAAGTAAGTACAGTAGATCAACACTAAACTGTGTGAACTGCAGCATGTCTGTTCTAAAACATGACTTAATGTTAAGGAAAAACCTCAGGACATGAAGAGTCTCCTGGACTTCCTGGACCAAAACAAAGATCTGCTGGAGAACCTAGGTCCTGAAGTTGACAAACTTAAAGAGATGCAGGCAAAAGTAGATCAACATGAGGAGCAGATCAACCACTTGACAGGAAGAGTGGACCAACTGGAGAAAGTGACACATGGTGAGAAAAAAAAATAATACCATTAGTATTTATGTTTGATTTAACCATTTAGCAATATTTCGTTTCTACATGAAGCTTCTAATGTGTTCTGTGGGCCAAAAGTGAACTCACAAAGAAAGTTTAACCACAGATAATATCCCTTGAAAATTACAAACTGAAAAACGTTGAAATTATGATTAAATTAAGAGGAGGTCAATTCCCTGTGAAAAAGAAGTACAAGCATACTTTTAAAAATAGTACTTACTATAGATACAATGTAATATACTTTAAAAGAATATACTTAAGTGTGAACTGAATGAGCATCTCTGCCGGTTGTGTGAACACTGGAAGAAGGAAATCATTGCCAATCATAATGGGAATGAGAATCGTATGTACTGGGACAACTGCCAGCCTCATCTATGGCCCACAGATAAGTGGGAAGTTGCCAAAGTAAGTTGCTTTCATCTTTAATAAGCATAGAGTGTTGCCACTGAGTGCTGTCTGTTGGAAATAATATTGTTATAATATTGATATATTGTCCTGCTGCATATGGGGAGAGTTATATTTAGATATTTGGTGTCAGTCAACAAAAATCAACGTGCATTACATTTTTTTACATTGTTGACTGCATGTCTCTCATATTTCTTATGACAGGCACATATGCCACGTGGGCAGACAAAACATCGCAAGTTTGACCAGTTTGATATTGCTGCCATCCTAAACTTAATGAATTTCTGTAAACATTTCAAGATCCCAGGACAATGTGTGAGAGACGTAAGTACACCGAGGAGGAAATAACCTATATTTCCCTGCAAAATAGATTTTTCAACATTACATCATTCAGAACTTCTGCATGTGTGATAAGCTTCGTGCTATAGTACGTGACCACTGTATCGGTACGGATATTCAAACACTGCAGATAACACATTTTACACTTATTTTTATTTAACAATTTCAGGTAATAACTGTACGGAACAATGTAATGCATTCGCCTGACTTCAAAGTGAGCAATGAGGAAATGAAAAAGCATCACAAAACGCTCCTGCAGCTGGCCGAGGAGCTTGAACCTCATGTCCCAGAAATGAAAGACTTGGAAAAGGAGATAACGCAGGTGGATGGAAAATTATTCATTTTATTATTAGGATGTTGCTCTTCAATATATTTGTATTATGTATACGTTTTTCAAATTCCTGTGTAGTTTTACAACATCTTGGACAAGAATTTCAATCAAGCCCCGTGTGAGGTAGATGGCCAACAGGAAGATCTCCAGACCGTGAAAGACCGCCAGAATGTTCTGAACCGTGAGCAGCAGGCCATGAAAGATAGGATTGAAGACTTTATCTCACGCTTGGAGGGGAACCAAGATGAAAATGTCAAAGTAAGTACAGTAGATCAACACTAAACTGTGTGAACTGCAGCATGTCTGTTCTAAAACATGACTTAATGTTAAGGAAAAACCTCAGGACATGAAGAGTCTCCTGGACTTCCTGGACCAAAACAAAGATCTGCTGGAGAACCTAGGTCCTGAAGTTGACAAACTTAAAGAGATGCAGGCAAAAGTAGATCAACATGAGGAGCAGATCAACCACTTGACAGGAAGAGTGGACCAACTGGAGAAAGTGACACATGGTGAGAAAAAAAAATAATACCATTAGTATTTATGTTTGATTTAACCATTTAGCAATATTTCGTTTCTACATGAAGCTTCTAATGTGTTCTGTGGGCCAAAAGTGAACTCACAAAGAAAGTTTAACCACAGATAATATCCCTTGAAAATTACAAACTGAAAAACGTTGAAATTATGATTAAATTAAGAGGAGGTCAATTCCCTGTGAAAAAGAAGTACAAGCATACTTTTAAAAATAGTACTTACTATAGATACAATGTAATATACTTTAAAAGAATATACTTAAGTGTGAACTGAATGTACTAAAATGTAATCAGACACTTAATTGACTTTAGCAATTCAATGAAAATGTATTTTAGTTAACATAATAAATCAAAATAGTATTTAACTTGTATGCCATATATTTAAATACATTTGTAATTACACATTTGTAATAATGAAGTTGCAATGTTATAAAGTTCTAATGTACTTAAATAAGTCAGTACCTCAAACTAAGTGTACTTCTTTAAGGCATGACAATTAAAACAATAATTTAAAAATATACTTTAAAGTAAAGCTTTTAATTTTATACTTTTTTTTACAAAGTGCATTTTTTTAAAAGTTGTGGTATAAAGCTTTTAATTGTATACATTTTTTACAAAGTGCATTTTTAAAAAATGTAGTGTCTTTCACTACACTTAAGTAGCCTTTGGTCATGCTTTTAATACCGAGAAAAAATTAATAAGCTAAATTACACAAGTTTAACTCACAAGGAGGTTCACAAGAGTCCAACTATATTCAGATTGTCTCATTCCAGTGTTTCTTTAGCCACAGATCCAGTGTTTCCTGGCAACCCACTTAAATACAAAAATCATCTTTATGAATATTGTCAGGCAAAGAAATGGCCAGAGGACAAATGTCCTGTTTTTACAGAGGATCAAGAAGCCCAAGGTAACAAATTCATCATCCGTCCAGTTAATATCCATTGCATGATAGTCCTTTTGAAACAAACAGAACATGTATTTGTTCAGACATACAGGAAAAGTGGACGACATTCTTTAATTCAGGTTAGATTCAACAGTTAATCACAAAGTTCACATCCTCCGCACAGGTTACAGAGGTAAAGTGACAGTAAATGGACAACGTTTCATTGGCAAAAGTGTGTTTAACGAAAAAAAGGCCGCCCATCAGGAGGTCGCATTCATTGCCCTCAAGCAGCTGAAATTACAGCAAGAAAGCACAGATGAACCGTCAAGCTCAGTCATGCACTCTGAGGCCTCCTCTTCGTCTTCCTCAGGTGAAATATGACTATGAAATTGTACTATTGCATTATGGTGCACTGAGATCAATGTATGATACAGTAAATCATTCTAGATTTTGCCATTTCAGGAATCACTGTCTTTGGTAAAGTGACTGTGGATCTCAGTCGAGAAGTTGCGTCTGATAGATGCTCTACAAAGGAAGAAGCGACTGAAGCAGCTTATAAGGTTTTATGGGAACGTTTTTGCATTAGTGCTCCAATAGAAGGTAAAGTACAAATATTAAATTAAGCAATTTTAAGCCTTAAAATAATGCTTAGTTTAATAAAATACTTTAAGCACAATTTACGTATTGTATTATATTACTGTCAAATTTATACAAACATGTTTGCATGTAATGTTTTTGGAAATAAATCCATTTCATGTTTGTGCAAAAATTAGTTTATTGCCACTTTCAACACATCAAGACTCAAATAGCATATTTTGATGAAATAATATATATTATTTGATTTTTCTGAATAGCTCACTAAACCTGATTTTCTTTCTCGCTGCAACAGGTCAGACATATAAGTCAGTGACGATGGAATATTTCAACACAAATGGCTTCCCCAAACCAATAGAAGATTTTGATGACAGCACAACCATCTGCAAGCTCAAACTCGTCGGGCCTTTTACTTTTTGTGACAAAGGTAACTGCTCTTAGTCATTTGTTAAACATCATTTATCTTCCTTTCACAAAAGTTGTGTGCTGATTTACAAGCTATTGTTTGCTGACGTTTAGTTTGCATTTCTTAGATGGCTCCACCAAGAAGAGACAGGCGGAGCAACAGGCAGCTAAAGTTGCTCTGCAGCATCTGTCAGGGATCCTCAACTCTCCTCCAATATTAGATACTGAGAAGAACTTCAAAGGTGTTCTAAAAGAGCGTCTAGAGACACTGGGTCTCAAAAATCCAGTTTATGACACAGATAATAAAGCAGAGGTCAGTGCTGAACCCATGTCCATCGACATCAGCTCGGACACGATTACCTCTACAGTATCCATCAGTGAGGCCGAAGTGAAAGATCATTCAGAGTCTGAAAGCATCTGCACATCAGCACAGCTCCCATCATCCCAAGAGTCAGTCCTTGTTACTGTTCCTGTGCAGCCGGACCCTCCAGACTCTAGCTCTCCAGCCTCACAGAGGAAAAAGCCCAGGATTGACTGTCCAGGTAATGGAGCATGTAGGAAGAAAGATGATGTGCTAATGCAGGAGACACCAGCAGGAAGTGCAAGTGTTTATTTATTGTCTAGTTCATTTATTTTGTGCACAGGACATATTTAAATGGCAAAGAGCCTGAAAAAGCAGACTCACAGCAAAATAAATAAATAAATTGAATAAACAAAAAGAAACGTGATTAAAATAAATATTTTTGACATTTCAGGAATCACTTTCTTTGGTAAAGTGACTGTGGATCTTAATCAAGAAGTTGCGTCTGATAGATGCTCTTCAAAGGAAGAAGCGGCTGAAGCTGCTTATAAGGTTTTGTCAGAACGTTATAAACCTACCCGTCTCCACCCCCTGATCCCAAAACCCACCCATTTCCACCCCTAAACCTACCCGTCTCCAACCCTTGATCCCTAAACCCACCCATCTCCACCCCTAAACCTACCCATCTCCACCCCTAAACCCACCCATTTCCACCCCTAAACCTACCCGTCTCCACCCCCTGATCCCTAAACCTACCCATGTCCACCCCTAAACCTACCCGTCTCCACCGCCTGATACCAAAACCCACCCATCTCTACCCCTAAACCTACCAATCTCCACCCCCTGATCCCTAAATCTATCCATCTCCACCCCTGAACCTACCAATCTCCACCCCCTAGATTTGGATCCAACCACGCCCCCTGGATCTTGTGTTCTGCAGTGAGGGGCTACTGGGTAATGGAGCATGTAGGAAGAAAGATGATGTCCTAATGCAGGGGACACCAGTAGGGAGCGCTAGTGGTACACTGTAAAAAATAAAGTGACAAGTTTAAGGTACTTGTTGCAACTCTGGTTTAATCTACTTGTACATCTTTGTGTATTTTACAGAAATCAATGAGCTGTTTAATGTATATAATCTCAAGCCACCACAAGTGAACATGGAGAACATAAAACATGATCAGAATTTCAAATGCACTGTGACAGTCAACCTGGAAAACTATACTTATGTCAACAAACAACAAGGTTACGACTCTAAGAGAGAAGCCACTCGAAAAGCCTACTTGTTATTTGGCCGTGTGATGGAAATTTTGGATCCTAGCTCAGGTATATATTTGTGTATTTATGTATTCATATATAAATATACCAATCGATTTATGTTCCTTGGCTAATGCTTTTTTCTTCACCTCTAATTCAAGACGAAAAGAAGTGCATTGCGCTGGTGAAGCAGCACTTTTCTCAGAGGTCTCTTACTCTTCCTCAGGAAGAAGCTGAAGAATCTGAAAAGTCATTTTATTGCTCACTAAAGAACATAACTTACGATGTGAAGTATGACGGACAAGGTTAGTATATACTCAACAGAATCAAGTGCAATTTTGGGGTCAATGACAATGAAATGTGTCCAAATAAAGAAAATGAAAAATCTTTTAAAAAGTCTACACTACCATTCAAAAGTTTGGGGCCAGTATAATTATTTATTCATTTATTTGATTTGATTTTTTGAAAGAAATTAATACTTTTATTCAGCAAGGATGCATCAAATTCAAAGGTGACACAGTAAAGACATTTAAATGTTAAAATATCTATTTCAAATAAATGCTGTTTGAACTTTCTATTAAAAATATGTCACCGTTTCCACAAAAATATTAAGCAGCACAAGTGTTTTCAACATTGATAATATCAGCATATTAGAAGGATTTCTAAAGGGTCATGTGACACTGAAGACTAAAGTAATGATGCTGAAAATTCAGCTTTGCATCACAGGAATAAATTACATTTTACAATATATTGAAATAGAAAACAGTTCTTTTAAATTGCAATAATATTTCACAAGATTACTGTTATTACTATAATTTTGATCAAATAAATGCAGCTTTAATGAGCAGAAGAGACATCTTTCAATAACATTAAAAACATTTAATACCATTTTAATTGTAGTGTTTTAAGTACATAAAAAAGTTAAATCATAAATATCATTGTGTTTAGTTTTTTTTGGGAGATATTTTAAAACATGAACCTTGACCCAGTCAATCATATTAATTTATTTTCATTTTACACTGCTTCTTAAAGCAATATATTCTTTAACTGGGAACAGAAATGTAACAAAAAACATGTGATACCTGTATGAATGCCATTGTGTTCAAATATAATATGGTCTTTTTTAGGATCTTCAGAGGATGAAGCCAAGTTATGTGCTCTCCAGAACACCTTACGTTCACTATCACCCCTCTTTGGTTATCCTTCACTACCTGGAGCTGATAGTGCCGAAGAGGTTCAGAATCAGCTGAGCTCCATGCTGAACAGGGCCGGTCAGAGAGAGCCTGTCATTGACCTGAAGTCTGAGGAACGGGCCTCTATCCAGCTGTCTTTCTGTGACTATACGCTGAAGTGCACATGTCAAAGCAACAAGAAAGCAGCTCGAAATCATCTCAGTGAACGCATACTGGGTCTGCTGGGGGTAAAGACAGGTCAGAGCCAATGAACACCAACCAGTTTGTCTTTCTTAAAGTACATTATTAGAAAATGATCATTTAATGATTGTCATTCTGTTCTCAACCACTTACAGAAGCAGACAATGCACCTTTGAGAAACTCTGTAGACGAGTGGTTCAAAAAGCAGAATCTGCCACAGCCAGTGTTTGAGGACACAGTAGAGGCGCTTGGAGCAAAGGCTACTTTCTCTGCTCAGTTAACCTGCTGCAGTCCAGGTGAGCTCACATACACACTCACAACATCATAAATGTTCAATAAAGGTTTAATGTTATTTATAAATATTTTAATGCATTTTAAATACAGTACTGTTCAAAAGTTTGGGGGGGAAAAAAAGTGAGATTTTGGAATGTTTCTGAAAGTCTTGCAAAATGTAATTTTGAAACGTACCATGGCTGCATTTATTTGATCAACTACAGTTTATGATTAAATAGAGTAGATCTGTAGGTTTGTGAAATAGTATTTAAATGTAAAAGAACTGTTTTTGTTATTTGAATATATTTTAAAATGTAATTTATTCCTGTGATGCAAAGCTCACATGAATCTTCAGAAATCATTCTAATATGCTGAGTTCTTCTGTCAAGGTGGAAATATTTGCGTGTAATATTAAATATTAAAATAGTACAGTTGGTTACAAGTTTGTTGTTTGATTTCTAGGCTGGGAAGACAGCTGGGAAACTGCAAAGTCGAAGCTGCTTCAAGAGCTCAAGTTCAGATTTAGGTTTGTGGACGACAAAAACAATTGAAATTGATTTCAGCTGGAAAAAATTGGTCTCCATGTCCTAGTCACCTACTCTACTGACTTGTCCTGGTGAAGATTTTCAAACCTGGCTTGCAATGTTATCTATTTTAAGGTGTTTAATTTTCTTTCTCAATACAAATATAGATTTACATTCTTAAATGTACATTTATTTATTAAATTTTAAATTTCCCTGGAATTTAAATCAATGGCCATGGCATTGAATGAAACTAGATGTATTTGAAAGATTTATATCAGAGGTATACCAACTAAACTCTTTTAACATCAGAAGAAAATTACAAATCAACGAAATGTAATCGAATGAAAAACCTGAAGTTTCGTTCATTTTCCAAAAGGCACTGATATGGCACTGACTGAAATTCCTTCAAATTGAATTGAGATTCAGTTTCAGGGGTTTGTTGTCTTTGCTGGAAAACTAATTTTATTCTACTACTGTGCATATGATTCAATGAGATGAGCTGAGCTACATTATTAACAGTTTGTTGATCAAGTGAATCTATTCATTCCACACTTGACTTGAGTCATTTTACAGTTTCCAAACAGTTCAAATGACAAATAAATGCATACTTTGAAAGCGCTCCACAAGACATGTGTGATTATATTACTGGATGCTCGAAATTGAATGGGAGTTAATCACCATTCTAATCTAATGCGCTGCTGCACTGTAACGCACACACATTACAGACAGTAGCTCGTATATCACGCACACAGAATCATTCAGCGCGGAAATGTATTGTCAACACTGTTCTGTGATTTCTCAATAAAATAGCTTAGAAACTGAAAAGTTCAAGCATATATTTCTTAACTAAATTCCACAGCTTCACTACTAGTAGAGAGACGCTGCCAGGTAGAATTAATTTACACACGCAATCGCTCTCTCACTAATGCATTCATATTAATGTAATCTTTACTGTGCTACTTTATCTGTATCTGATTTAGAACGAGCAGAAATCTGTGAGAAATATAACGACTTAAAGACAAAAGAACTGATAAAAAAAGCTGTACAGGAGCAACAGCCATGAGGGCAGCGCTGTGTCATAGGCCATAGCTGTGCACAAGCTGTTTATCACAGCTCCAGACTTATTTGTTCATTAATGACGTCATCAGTGACTAGTCGACTTCGACTCGACTTTCATCACATAAAAGTCGACTTAAAAAAAATCAGAAGTCGTTCAACCCCTACACTGTATAACTGACTTAGGCATACATCTCTACAAATAAAAGAAATTATTATTCAAATCAGTATTTCATGTCCACATTTTCTTTTAAATGGTAAGATAATTCACAATAAATACCAAAACCCCAATAGTAACATTAATAGGCTGTTGAATTGTGGCCAGTTTTGCTCGAATATACCGGCCCAGACAGTTTTAAGTTGATATGATTCTTTAGGGTCTTAATGAAAAGTCTGTAACATAGTTTGGTTAAAATTTCTCAATGGTAGTGTAAAAAACAGCTCTTTTCAAAGCACGCCGTTTTGTAGCATTTTCCTTTAAATGTTAATGAGCTCTGCTGACCCCGCCCCTCACTTCCGAGCTGCTCTCTGAGGGCCTGTTTACTTTAGCCGCATTCATCGTGAAACTTGCTAGCTAGCATATTATTAGGAAAGGCGATTTGCAAAGATTCATTAAAAAAATCTTATACTCCCTTCTTCTGTAGATGAGGCTGGATCATGAATGATTCACACGAACATAGACACATTTATATAGATCGGGGCGCATTCCCTTCAAAAACAAACATAATCCACTGTGTCTTCAGCGGCTCAGATGTCGGGAGTAAATGAGGAATACTACTATGTTCATTATTACATCCAAGAACAGAAGACCTCAATCGCTTATGCAGAGTTCACACTGCACGATTTTAGGCCGATTTTTCACTCGTCGACAGGTTTTGCGAAATCGCAGTGTGAATTATCAAAGACGCGATCTGAGGGAATCGCCGATGCATCGCTGACGCCCGTGAAATATTTGACATGCTAAATATCTGGAGCTGTCGGCGATTCACAATCACGCTGTGTTAAATGATTTCTGACTGAAAACTACATCGGCGATGACCTACAGCCAATGAGAGACCAAGATACAGGGCAGCGGGAAGTTCGGGGAGGAGTTATATGAAACGTAGTTTGCGGACCAGTGTTGCCAAATCCGCGATTGCCGCCGGTTGTTTTTTATGTCAGCAGGTTGAAGCGACCCCAATAACGTGATATTTAGGCCCTGAAATGTGAATTGTACCAGGAGAACCCCGCCAAAAAAAATGTGTATTTTACCCCCGAACGCGATTTTTAATGGGGGACACCTTCGAAAGCAATTGGGCTATTTTCAGGCTAGTTTTGAGTAGTAATTGGGCGTGTTTTGTAGCGAAAACCTGGCAACCCTGCACCAGACAGAGCTGTCTGCGATTCTTCCTATTGTAAAGTCATGCAGTGTGTAACCTCCTGTCATCGTTCCATCGTGCAGTGTGAACACAGCAACAACTGAATGCTACCCCAGATTGTCGTTCAGTGTGAAACCAACAGTGATGCGACGTCTTTGAAAATCGTGCAGTGTGAACTCGGCATTAGGAGTCATTCTTGTCTACACCTGCTCTGGCGGTGAAACAATGGCGGACTGATTACAACTCACTCAGGGCGGGTCTAAGGTAAGACGCCAGTCTAGTCTGTGCTGAAACGCTACTGTCAATCAATGTCTATCGTGGGAGGGGCCTGTTTTTGTGACGTCACACAGACAGGCATCTGAGATCGGCTTGATTTGAGAAAGGGGAAAACATTTAACAAGATTAAAAAAAACACTGGGTGGATTTGTATCATTATAGGGTGGTTGTGTACACACACCACCAACACACATTTCAGTTCAAACAACTTGTAAAAGTGCATGTAGCATCATACTTGCTCTTTTGAGACAATATGAAGTGTTGTTTAATGAACTGACCACAAGATGTCAATGAAGCGCTACAGTCTGAATGTTGTTGTAATGATGAAGAGTGAAGGAATGCGTGTCAGGTTTTATTCCAGGAGGATGTTAAAGCTACTCTGGGTCAGGATGTTCTTCACACCCAGACCTCACCAACTTAAGGCACCAGCTTCATCCAAACATACAATACTGTCTACTGCTCATATTCCTCTAGTGATTACCGCTGTGAGGAGTAATTTCAATGCACAAACATATTTTTTCCATTCATGTTCAGGAAATGATGGAACCCTGCCCTGCTCAATTAAGATATCATGGCCACAAATTAAGAATTTGTTCCCTTGTTTAGGTAAATCGTGGCCAGATTTTGCTACAGTTTAACTGTAAATTAATTAGTAATTGTGGGAACAACTTCTTTAGGCCTACATGTAATGGACTGTGTTATCTATACTGGTGGTTTTTGCATCTTCGAAATTGATCAAATCAGGGAAACTTTTTTCAACTGCCTTTTGTGAAAATGTATAAAAAGTGTTGCCAGTTGCTAGCTTTCTCTGTCATCATTGTACAGTACATTATTGTTAGTGATTTACATGTATTAATTTGGCAGATGCTTTTATTCAAAGCAACTGTACAATGAGGAAATAGTGTTGCTAATAAAAATAATAAACAATACTGAACATCACATTTCTAGGCCCATGTATTTCCAGTGCTATTTTAGCATTATTATATACAATTATAGTTTTTATCAATACTCTGAATCAGTGTTTACTGTATATGAATGTTACATTTTTTATATGATCAGTTTTCATTTTCATTTTAGTAAGTTTATAAGCTTTTATAAATTTTAATAGCTTTTTAAAAATATTTCTATATAGCTTAATTTCTATGTAACTTGATTGTCATGTCATTTCAGTCATTGACAAGCCATTTTAGTACTTCAACGTTGGCAGGGCCGTTTGTTAAGTTCAAAGTTTTTTTAAATCTAATATTCATATTTTAAATCATCTTTATTTCATATGACTTCAGAAGACTTGGAATATAGTGCACGACTCACATGAGCCACTTCTGTTGTAATGTTTTATCTTCGAAAAATACATAGAGGAGCAAAGAGGACACTGACAACACGCCGACAGACAAGACAAAGCAGGTTACTTTTGGTATGAAACAAAGTCTCAGCTTTCAAATTTGGTCATTTAAAAAAAATAATTCAAACAATAAATACCATTTAATGCGTCGTTCAAATGGCATGCGAACCAATCATCTCTTACTCTTTACTTATAGCATGAAATAAACATGAACGAGCATCAGAAGGTGTCTTATTTCAACAGCGGAAACATGTCAATACACACAATTTTTCAAGTTCAAGTCCATGGACATTAATCTACTCTCTCTTGTCTGGTTTGTTTGTTGGACAAAATGGCGCATTCGGCGTTAGGATTGGTCAGATCGCCTGTCAGTCAAACACCTTGTAAAGGGTCAATTGAGCATCTTGTACATTCTACTAAATATCTCATTTTGTGTTCTACAAAAGAAATAAAATAAATGATGACAGAGCTTTTTTGGTTGATCTATCCCTTTAAATCTCCTGTTTTCTATCAGGTAATGTACTAAAACCTGTTTGTTTTTTTTATCGCTGATGTTCTGCCATAACAATCTTTGCCCCTTCCAAGACATAAAGTTGTGAAACAGACCTCCAAACTAGTTCATCATTTTTTATTTATTTATTTATTTTTTATTGGACAATCAGGGTGGGCCGAAGACTTCGGGAGGAAGGCCAAGCTCATGATTGGAGCCAAACCTAGTGGATACTGTCTAGGCCAAACATATAGATTCCCTGGACAGCTCTCAAATGCACTGTAATACTATGGATATACTACGGTAACCGTACACCTCCTCACACTGTATTTGTACTTTGCTGACTGAGAGCAACTCTCCCCCCTGCTACTTTTACATAAGAATATGCAACCTAACCATAGTCCTTGATCTGTCTGTGGTGCCAAATACTGTTGAAGTATGCACTTTTCATGTTTTGCAAGCAGAGAAGGGGGACTTCCTTCAGTGTGGCTAACAAAATCACATAAATACTGACAGGAATGTAACACTGAACATTCAGAAATGCCAAAACAAGTCCTTTCAAAGAAAAAAAGTAACATTGTATTTGAAATAAAATAGGTATGTGTTTTAAAGTGTGAAGGAAGAAAGGAAGAAACTGGCAGGTGGTCCAGTGTAAGTGCCAGAGATACTGGCTCCCACCCTGTCATGTAGTCTAAACGTTTGTGTCTGAAACGTTAATCCACCTGACATTACAGAAACTGTCTACTGCAGTGGATTTACTCTCCATAACAACAATCAGATTGCATTACGGTAAGAAGGACGACTGTGTTTTCACAACTGTTTAAATACAAGAACGAATATCAAGTGTTTCTCGGTGCTGTGCTCAGCATATTCTCATTACATGATGCTTTTATAGGCTAGACACTCTCCTTTTTATATGGCTCAATGACATGAGGGTCTTTTTTTTGGTCCGGATGTGTGTGTGTATATATATATATATAAAGTTCTTTATAGTGGAAATAAAGGGTTTTTAGACTTTTAAAAAGTTCTTCAGACTAAGAAAAATTGATATAAAAAAAGTAACATTGTATTTGAAATAAAATAGGTATGTGTTTTAAA